CAAAGGTATCGAAATATGATAGAGCTTTCGAAACCGGAAGGAAATCATGATTATCATGTTGCAATTATATATATATATATAGACGTGACCGTGTCGATATTATTACAAACTTTCCGGAGGAGCGTTAGCATAAAAGTCGGTCATTCTCGAAATCTTACGTGACCATCAGCGGTGCGCTTCCGGCGCGTGCCGTATATACATATAAAAACGCACAAATAACATGATTCTATGTTGTGAACCATTTTTAACGCGTACTGCACAACGCGTTATAATAATGGGTATACCGTAAACAGCACGCGTACATGACGGATATGCACGTAGGTGGGAAACGCACTTTGTTGTTTAAGAGCTAGCGGTTTTCATCACATGTGTGTGTAATTCTATCTATCCACGAGATATAATAAAGTAAGATGCCAGAGAATATAATGCGCGACGAGCACATTTTGCGCTCGATTAGAGGCTAATGCCAAGGTCCTCTTTCTCTTGATAAAGGGTGAAGTCATCTTTATGGAGATCGAAGTACAGGGCGAGTATTTTACATTATCGTGCGATAATTCAATTTCTTGCGACAGATAATGAAAGTTCTACGAACAATTAATCAATGGTTTCAAAACAAAAGTTTATTTATTTTGATTAGATTTAAAATTATCAGTCTTTGATTTGAAAGTATAATTAATTTGGATTAATATCAATCATTCTAGTTCTGAGATATTGTTGCGACATCGTAAAGAGCAAAATGCGAAATTATGTATTTTAAAAATCGCGAAATCATATTTTAATCAATGTGTTATTAGTTGTAATTGTTTCCGATTAAATCTTATCGATGTTAATAAATATAAAAAAAATTGCTCGAATTAACTGTAATGTCGATTCTACTAATTATTAGAATTGACTAATGAAATCCAATTCTGAAAATATTAAAGCAACACTCGGGCCAAACATTTCAAAGTTTAAAAAGAAATTAAAGACAGAAACCATAATTAATTTCAGGAAACTAGCTTTCGAAATTTTTTTTCGAAACTACCGGTTACATTCCATGTGATTTTTGATCGTAATCAAACGGCTCTAAGTCATAATTAACTAAATATTAAATATTAAAGATAATATTAATTTTAATGAAAACCGATATTAAAGAAAGCGATGAAAAGCGAATGTGATTACGATGCGGCGTGATTATCGTGTTCACCGATAAACCGTACGAAAAAAAACTTGAAATAAAAGATAAACCCAAAGGTCCAAAAGAACGAAAGAGATTTAACGGATTTTAGATATGTTTTATTTAAGTACGCGCGGAAAGCACCTAAGTTAGAGTGAATGTTTTCTTTTCGATATCCATTTTAAAAAGTAACGACCGACCTTGCCAAGTGCGCGATAATAATCGGAAGAAATTTCTGCCATGTGCAACACGCGACAGTATTGATTAAAGTGAAATTCTAGATTTCAGATCAAGTTTATTGCTTATAGATTAATTGTGAATGGATCGATCGATTCGCGAGAAATATGATCTTGTTTAGCAGTCAATCTTATTAAAATTTCACGAAAAATAATTAATCGTAAAAAGATAATATATATCCTCATAATTACTAAAAATAATATTTCTTATCCAATATTACTTTATTTATTTATTTCCTCAATATCTTTGTTTCGACATTGAAAAAAATTCGAAAAATCGCTCTTTTTCACTCTCTCTTTTTATTTTTGTATGCCTAGAAAACAAAGTAAAGAATCAGTAAAGTCTCACTTAACGTTGAGTGAATGTTTGTGACCTATAATAAAATATGAAAATCGATAGGTCGAGTAAGCTTATCGCACACGGATGTGGACATCCGTGTGGACTTTATCGGGAAATTAACCGATCTTCGCTGCGGCGACGATGACGACGAGGCGAGATGAAGACAAGACAGCATTCAATAGTTCAATTAACTCGAGCCTACCGGAGTAATATGAATATTTAATCGAGACACACGAAACACAAGAACGCGTTTGAACCAATGAATTCGAATGTACATCGTGTGCGATCATCGTTTATTCACGCGTCATAAAATCTATTTGCAAACGCGTCCTTATCGTGTTTAATTGATAGATGATGCTTCATATCGGC